AAACACAATGCTGGTGGTGGAACACTCAATAATAGTAATAATAATAATAATAAATGATACACAACAGAAAGGGGAACTTGACTGGGTATTGTGAAGGTTAGGAACTGACAAAGAAGTGCTTTATCTACTTAAGAGCTTGACTGATGGACGGCAATCGAATGGACAGAGGCTTTTATTCCCTCACACTGCAGTGTTTGTGTCCCAAACCAGACCACAAAACACTGGCCAAAATGCCATCATAACCAAACACAATGTAAAAAAAAATAAAAAACTTACAGTACTTTAAAAACCTATAAAGTACTGGCTAATATAAGGTAAGTACATGGGTTAGGGGTAGGTTCAGGGTTAGTACCTACTAGTTATTACCCAGTAATTATAATTACTATAATAAGTACATAGTAAGTACATGGGTAACAGGAATATTTTGAAGTCTCTTCCAAGTACTAGCGTGTCCATCCCCAGTCAAAACACTTCATTGCTACCAGTCACTGAACTTGCTAATGTCAATCAACACGCCTCATCTTTAGCCAAAGCTTTGGAGGTAATTCCTATTTATTTTGGTTCCTTTGTTTCCTCGTCTCTGGTGTGGTTGAAGACTTCACAATGACTTATTTCTTTTCCAGAAGATGATATATAATCTCTGCTTCTCACCGTGTCTTAGCAGCGGTCGCAAACACACGTGACTTCTGCGCGCTCGCAGCAGTGCACACTGGGAGATCAAAAGGAGCGTTAAATTGCGGCCAGTGCCGACCAGACAGCCGGCAGAAGAACGCGCTGGGCTTTATGTTTACACGATGGAATTGCTTGTGTGTGTGTGTGTGTTGTGTTGTTTTAATGCTCTCACGCCGCTGGCCACATTAGTGTGCCGGATAATTGCGTTTTCTGACATGAATAATTCAGCAGCAGGGTGTTTGTCAGGTCTCGGAGTGTATTCGTGTGTCTCAGCGAAGTGGCAAGGTAAGATTTCATCAAGTGCAGAATGTCTGTCAAAACACGTTTGCTCCCTCGCCGCTGTTGTCAGTTCTCTTTTCTCCCTTCTTTTCTCCACAGTGGAGTTTTTGATGGCTCCCTGAGATGCCTATCACATCTCTCATTCTTTCCCTCTCTCTCTCCATCTTCTGGCCTATCCGTCTCCTGCTGTTTCGCTCTCCCTCCCAGATCCTCCCACTTTCATCATTTATCCTTTTCCTTCACCCTCTTGCTCCCTCAGCATCAACTCTGTATTCCCTCCTCTGACATCCTTTTTTCCCCCTTTCTGAAACACAAATGATTGTTTTATATTCAAGGCTCTCTTCCAATTCCGAAATAAATAAACCTGATGCAAATGTTAAGATGACGAGATGTCAGACGTCACTGTCGTGGACTGTTCACTGCCCGTTTCATGCATGTTGCATACAAAATAGAGGTCTTGCGAAATCCAATCTGATTAGCTTTGCACAATTTCCGGGAGTTTGTGTATACATGTTTCGTATTGAACCGGGGAAAACAAAGCCCTGTTTACAAGTTCACAGACTTCTTCAATGGCCCACGTCCAAGGAACAACTTGTTGGTAGATTTGCCAAAGTTTGTGACGTACATGACAGCGTTGTGTCCCATTTCAAATGAAACAAATTGGCATAAAAAACATCAACTAACTGGGCAAATCTAAAGGCCCCAATATACTTTCTCCATTTCATCAGGGGCCTTAAGTGATTGATTTGGAATAAGCTGCAATGTAGACAAGAGTGTTTGCTGGCTAAAGTCTTATTATGTGAGACTAAACTAGCCTAGTCATCTGCCTGACTGCCTTCATAGGCAGCTACTTTGCAAACAGGGCTTGACATTAACTTTTCTGCTCAGCAGTCTCTGTGGCTAGTGGTTTTCCAAAGTTACTAGCCACTCAGCATTTTCACTGGCCACAATTTTGACATTGATACCATGGGCCATTTGTGTACATAGAAAAAGTCTTAGATCTTTGAGTTCAGCTCATGAAAAATGGGGGCAAAAACAAAAGTGTTGAGTTTATAATTTTGTTCAGTGTAGTTATAGTTATCTTTATCGTTATTGTTCTTGTTGTGAACAGCTCTTAAGACTGACCCGAATGTGTCAGCGAGTCTCAATCCACCTGTCAGGAGCAGCAAACAAAGCAACAACTCAGTTGTTTAAAGATCAGTAATCTCCTGAGTATATGACACTTTGAGTGGCACATGACCTATAATTGCACTCAACTAACACCAGCCCAGAGTGCAGAAGACTCCAAGGACAACACTTCATCGATTCCTCTTTGGAGTTCACTGAACATGCCTCGTTCTCTCGCTTCTCTTTCTCTTTTTCTCTAAAGGGCGAGGGCTGGCCGGGGGCATCAAAGCTCATTTTTCTGCGGTTCCCTCAGGACTGGACTTCGGCTGTGAGCAAAGGTTAAAGCTGACGCCCCTGTCAATAAGTCACTGCCTCTGCCAGCCCACATTTGACGCTCACACTTTCGTAAAATGTCTGCGATTCCCTAGACGTCTGGAAGGCTAATCGCATGCATGCAGATAAATGAAAATAAATAAATAAGATCCCTCAGCGTGTTAGGGGTTAGAGGCAACTATGTCCAATTTCACTCTATTACTTTCTCTCACATTGTCATTATGCTAATTTGAGGTTAATTGTGTCATGTCTTTAAATATCAAAAAGCATAAGTTGAGTACTTGGCAGTGTTGATTTATTAGGCTGTAACCTGTCACTGTGGCAGAGCATGTCACTCAGTCTTTTGATTTAGAACTTCCTCGATGATGCGTTAATGGTCCAGCACTGTGATTGGCTCACATGACAACCTTCCCATATCATCATATAAAACCACCACGCTCTCTCTCTCTCTCTCTCTCTCCCTCACGCACATCTACAAAATAGCATCAATAACCGTCCGCTGTCCTCTCTCTCTCTCCACTTTATTTGCAATAACTGTCAGCGGTGGAGCGATGCTTTTGTAATCTGATTTTTATGAACATACTTGTATGGATTATTGAGATCCTTTAATGCCTGAACGGGGCGCGTTGCAAAGCTAAAGCCTCCTGAATGTTAATGTGACAATAAGAGTAATGAAGCATCCAACAGTTTATCTCTTCCCTCTCTTTCTCTCTTCCCACCCCTGTCGTTCGGATGTCTTAAACTCCAAATTTTAAGGGGGAGTTGATGAGAAACGAGGTGGAGTGGGAGAGTTTGTGAAAGTGTGTCTTCATGATGGCGTCTTTAATCAAATCTTGCCTGAGCCAAGGAGAGAAAGTCAAAGCTCATCTCCAACCACTCTCAATCACCCCAAAAATCAATACCTTATGGGAACATCCCATTTGATCATTTTGCAAACATTATGGGAACATTCTCGGAACATTCTGAAACAAGAACATTTAAAAAAGATTTCAGACAAAAATTCCATGAACGATGTGTAAATATTGCTGTGCTAATGATTTGAGAACATTATTAAACACCAGACATCTTTGAACAAACATTATATTAACGTTTCTGGAAGAATGTTTGTTCATAACTTAGCGAGAACCTTGGCAGAACATTAGTCAAAGTTCAGAGAACGTTCCCTCTTTGCTGGGAATCTGCCATTGGTTGTCAAAGACATTCATGTGACGATGTTTCTGAAAAATGATATTATTATGATGCTCCTTCCATGTTTCGCAAACCTTTTCAAAGTGAAATGCCCAGTGATTGTCACTAAAAGCATGTTCAGTTTTATCCAGAACTGTATCCAGTTGTATAGCATTGGTTGTTGTATCACAGCAGTTCTATAAATCAAATGACACACCACTAATGTGATGCATTATGAACTGTCTTTTGACATATTTCAGAACGTATCAAATCAAGCTAAAAGTGCTCATTTACTTGGATTTAATTTTCAAGAAAATCTGCCAGTAATCAACGCTGCTAAGTGCAGGATTCCTACAAACTGTCACTATCCTACACATTTCAGACCATATTTAACATCTGATAAATAGTTTTAAAATGCAATTGTTAACATTCTAACACATCAAACCCAGATGAAGTTAATATAGAATTAAACTTTCACTCACTGCATACATGTTGAGTATTTTAAATTCATATTATAAGTTTTAAAATATTATTGTCAAAATAATGGCAGGGTATGATAGAATAAAATTAGAACGTTTGCTACATATTAATTTATAATCAGCCATTATCACTCTTTTCCAAGTCCTCACCCATAAAGTTCTCACTCATATAGCATTATTTTACATTATGTTGGTTTTCTCCAAGTGAATACATACTCTTACATGATGAGAACAAACCTGCATATATTCACCTCTGAGACATTCGAGACTGTAATTGCAGTTTGATGTTGCACGAACACTAAACAGCCAAGTACAATTTGATTTAAATGACTGCCAACTCCCTTTAGTGAAGAGACTCACTTAAAATATTCACCTTGAATTAATTCAGTCATGTTAAACAATCACTAAACTGCACTGGCTGTCTGCTCTAGACTTATATTATACATATCATAGAAAACAGAATGGGGCAGGGAAACACAAATATTCCCCATGCTTTAATATCCAGACCTGGAAATGACTAAAATCAGATCCCATACTGCATAGGAACCCTGTAAGTGCAAAGGAGGATCTTTACTGATGCTGCAAACAGCAGTTCATTGAGACAGCCAATGGGAACCTTCCACACTGACTCAATAAAGAAGCATCTTTATGGAATGTCGACCAAGAAAAAAATCTGCGTACAAATGTCAAGGCAGCCTGGAGTTCATTTGCACTCCTGAATTATCTATTATGGAAATAATAATGACTTCAAAATGAGTTAAGGTGGGTGGCAGCTGCCTCTATGGCACACATGTGACCTAAATAGGCCCGAGGCAGGGAAGGAGTTGAAGAGGCCATTTCATGGAGCTATATGAACTCTGTGTGATATCGAGAGACCGTTTTACTGGGGCCATTGTTAAGCCATTTTAAGAAGGTTGCACATTTAGGTGTGTGTGTGTGTGGGAGTGAGAGTGTGTGACTCACCACTTCGCGGGGCAGGAAAGCGTCCTCTTGTCTGACGATGAGAAGACCTACAGTGCCTCCCATGGGAGTCGAGCGCAACAGAGCCACGACCTCCTCCTGAGTCTTACCATTCAGATCCACTCCATTCACCTAGACACACACAAAAGAGCGAAATATTTGATATTTGTCTTAACAATATATATTTTTTTCGTCAGTACATTTTTCAAATACATTTTGTAAACCATATGTATTGACCTAACACAATAAATCCAAAAGGATACTGTAACGATATATTATTATATCACAAAAGATATTATAAGTGTATATAATATCAGTGCATCGGGAATAGTGCATCATGCCTGGGATGCAGTTTCAGAAAACACACCGGCCAATTCCTTTTCATAGTCACATATAAGTATATTTAATACATAATGTTCTCGATATCAGATTTATGAGATAAAGTATTTAAGGTTGACCTGTGAAAAAGTGGCACTTTTTACTGATGCGAGTCATTTGAAAGGGGTTTTAATAAAGCAACAAATAAAACACGGATTGCATTCTGTGCAATTATATCTGATCAAACATTTCAATTAATTGCAGTCGCATTATTGTGACCATGACAACAGGAGATAGTCCTCATATTTCTATGGCAACATAAAGGCCCAGGGTGAACCGACGGCACTCTGAAAGGCCTTGACTCCATTAAAGCGATGAATCAGGGTTTGTTAAGCCAAATGGATGACGTTCTGGCTCTACGGTCGCGTCTGGCATGAGAGCCTGCAGGTGTCCTGCTCCATTTCTAAATGAAATGGCCATTGTTGATTGGCTGTCATTGTAAATCAGCCATCAGCCATAGTTCTTTTTGTCCATTCTCTTTTATGAACATTATTTGCTAAAAAGGAAAGTGCTTCTCACAAGGGAGAGAGGAAAACAATGAGACATCTCGTCTCCGATAGACCAAGCAGAATGAACTAAGACGGAAATCCTCTGGAAAACAATGAGTCGACGGTACTTCTGTGTGACACAGGGAACGGAAGAAGTTTGTTGCTGTTTTTTTTTTTATCAAAGAAAAGCTGTATTTGATGCTGAAATGTCTGTACAGGAAGTTGAGGAAGCGGAAGAGGAAGTCAGAGGTCATGTGATGCTCAACAGCTTCAGTGTTTCTCACCTCGAGCAGCCGGTCTCCAGCTTTCAGACGCCCGTCCTGGATGGCGGCTCCACGGGGGAGGATATTCTTCACATATATGGGGGCCGAACTGCCGATGGGCACGTCTCTGGAGGTGATGCTAAAACCCAAGCCCTCCGGACCTACAGCGCAGGAATAACAAACAATACACACGTAAATGACTAAAGAGTCTGTCTGTAGACCAAACATGCTTTTACAGTGACCACACACTGAGAAGATGATTGAATTTGTTCTATTTTTAGTTTAGTTTGAGTTGCAAAAGGTTGCTTTTTTTAAACCACATATTTTTTTTAGAGTCATTTAAACTTTTCTTGAAAATTGCTTAAAAGTTTTTCAAAACCATACGACACCAACATCAATATAAAAAGTCCATTATTAAATAAAGAACATAATGTGAGCAAAGCTTGATCTGTGAAAAAGTTTAAAAAGTGGACGCTGATGTGAGTCATTTGAAAGGGTTGTTGAAAACTTGCATAATATTTTGGTGAAAACCATCATTCATTTTTTTCCAGGATTTTATGATGGATAGAAAGTGCAAAGGAACAGCATTTTTTTTTTATTTAAATATTTCGTAACATTATAAATGCCTTTATTGTCACTTTTGATCAATGTAATGCCTCCTTGATGAATAAAAGCTTTTTTTTCCTGAATAAAATCAAATAAAAAAATACCCCACATTTTTTGAGCAGCAGTGAATCATGGTTTACACAAAAACATTAGGCAGCAAAAACTGTTTTAAACACTTATAATAATCCTAAATGTTTCTTGAGCATCAGATCATCATATTAGAGTGATTTCTGAAGGATCATGTGACACTGAAGACTGGAGTAATGATGCTGAAAATTCAGCTTTGATCACAGGAATAAATTATATTTTGCAATATATTCCCATAGAAAACATCTATTTTACATGCTAATAATATTTCAGAATTTTACTGTATTTTTGATCAAATAAATGAAGCTTTGGTGAGCAGAAGAGTCTTCTTACATATATATATATATATATATATACAAAAATATAAATATATAGGAGTCATTATATAAGTCAATGGCCCTTGCGTTGAGCTAAAGTGTTGCAAACGTTTAGTGAACTCTATATTTGACACTGTCACTTGGATTGCACATCGGCCGCAGTAAAATTACAGTCCTGCTCAAGTCTACTGTATCTAATAACTAATCTGAATCCATCCGACGGGATATTTTTAAGTCCGTTAACAGCACAGAGAAAAAAAGTGTGTTCCATGACCGCCTGTGCGCACAATTACAAATTACACAGGCAAAAGCCAAGCATATGGCAACACAGGCCACCATAATTAAACGTTTCAAACCCATCTGG